AATGGACTTCCACGGCCCCCCTTTTGCTAGACTCTGTGCCTCCAAACTGGGAGTGCAGCGCCACCTCCGTGTCCACAGATGAACTGCACAACAGCGTGTCTTCTTCAAACCTGAAGGACTACCATATATTTATTCCTGTAAGATGCAGGAAAGAGAGTCAGTCTGGTGCAGTGGTTAAGGCATCAAGCAAGAAACCAGGAGACCATGAGTTCTAGTCCTGGGTTAGGCGCAAAGCCCTCTCTCTGAGCCTTAGGAAGGAGGAGGCAATGGAAAACCCCTTCTGAAATCTTGCCAAGAAAACTGCAGGGACTTGTCCAGGCACTTGCCAAGATTGACTTGAAGACACACACACAAAAAAACCCCTCAGGAAGCAGCTATTTTTGGCAGATTAAGTTGCCAATGTATCATGCAAAAAAAAATCTTATTTGAATTTTAACCACGTGCTACAGTATGCTGACTGCCACAACCCACAGAGAAATTAGCCCTGAAGAGGATGGTATTTATTATTTTTTTGAAAACATAACCCATAGCATACCAATGGAAGTGTACTTAGTACCTATGTGTCTTTTTGACCTTCAGGCTGCTGGGGAGGAGCTAGCTGAAAAGGATGTTGCTGAGAGATTACTTCTTCTTGTACTGGTTTTATATTCAAGCTCTAAAGAGAAGACTGTTCTGAGAATGCTGGCTTCGTGTCAGTGAGAGTTGCCTACTTCTATTGCTACACAACGGTTTTATTTCTACCATATGTCATCTCTAGCCACTTCTATAGCTGGAGAGCAGGTAGCATTCAGCTCTATGGATTATTTTTGCTCTGAGCTGAAAAACAAGGCAGCCACTTCTTCTCCTGAATTCTCATTATTTCCTAAGGGCAGAACTTGGAAATATTTTGAATTATGTTCCAGTGGAACACTGAAGTTGTTTTCAGCTGTGTTCCACTAACCTGGATTGGTCCAACAGAATATTTTGGTTGGACCATTTAACAAAACCTTTTCTGCACATCCCTCTGCCTGCACATCCCTCTGCACAAGCTCCTCAGAGTAAGGCATGATTTGAGCAGCATAGAAGGCTAATAAAATACATACAGAAATATACTGGCTCAGAAGTAGACAATATTCGACAGGCTGTAATTCTATTTCCTGACCAAGAAGAACACCACAAGAGTTTTAAAGGTTTGGATGGGAACAATTCAGCTCCCAGAGACCTGCTCTAATTCCCACTCTTAGAACTTTGGCAAAAATGCCAAAATGGGGCTAAAAATGGTCCCCAAGCTGATTTCAAGCTAGTGGGGGGGGGGATTAAGGAAGTTTAATTCTGAAACACATACACACCACACTGCCAAAAACAAGCAAGCAGTGCATTTCTGTTCCCCTCTTTCTACAAACTAGACTGGTGATACAGACAAAAGACACAGCCATTTCAGAAATAACAAGTAAATTGTTGTTCTCCTCAAAAGCAGGCAGAAGAACCAGCTGACCTGCCAAACAGAACCCACACAACATCAGATCTGCTGGTGAGTGCAAATTTTCCCCATCATCTCAATTCTCCATTTCAGATCAGAGGTCCCAACTATCCAAAGAGCTTTTGGCTGGCCTTTACAAATCTGTCCCAACTGCCTTCAGCCTAGACCTAGCTTCTGCCATTTAGTCCAGATTTTACTGCCAGAATTAGAGATGACTTATTCCTTTCTAGCATCAAGAGCATGAACAAACTAGAAATTGTACAGAGGCTGGTGTTTATACAATGTCCCCAGGCATAGGTGCTCCTCTTTACATCTCTGGGCATCTTGTATGGAAACAGGAAGAGCAGAGATGCACATGTCCCTAACCACACACATTTGTAGCATATTTCTGAACTGACTAACGCCTGTCTTCAGATTCCTTGAACGCCTTACCTCTCAATAGCCAACAACATTCTATAAGAACAGACACAAGGTTCTCCCATGTTCCAAATGGTTGGGCAGTGTATATGCAAAACAAGTATGCCCCATGATCAGCAGCCAAGTAGCACACAGCTATGCAAAGCCAGAGGCTTCATCAGATCCAGGAAAAAATGGGGCCTTGTTGGTGGTCCCCAGTTTTCTATCTTTTCATCTGGCTCTGGGCCAAAAAGATCAAAATGAAAAGAAAGACAACTGGCAACCAGCTAATGCTAGTAAGTGCACCAAAGTCCCTCATCCCAGGTGTGACTGCTGCTATTCAACCCTGGAAAGAAACCCTGGGAAGAAACTATGGGCCTCACTGGCTGCCATCTTATCTTCAAAATGACTGCTGGACGAATGCTGCATAGCTCCTCACTCTTCTCTTCTTGGCACTGATTATCCAGCGTGTCCTAATCCTTTTCTTCCCTCCAATCACCCATTCTTCCTCCGAACTGTCTCTCCCAGAAATCCTGTAGGGCTCTCCTTAGCAGCTGGTACATCCAAAAGCTCGTATGCTCCCATTTACCCTCTACACTCCCCAGCTGAGGAAATGCAGCTTTACCCTGAAAGAGCACATCTAAAAGCATCTGCTAGGTTTCCTTTGTAGCCTGGAAGCCCCCTGCAAATGCTGCAGGGATGGTGGCATCAACTTTTCAGAACAAAACCAAGTCTGCACTCTGTAGTTCTCAGAGTGGGCCAGAAAAATCTCAACCTTTTAACCAATGTTTAAAAGTCCACAAAGAAGTGTCCAAAAACCTCAAGGAAATGTGTCAGTTTTCAGTACCTTTTACTTAGCTGGACCTACCACAATTATGAGTTTGAAATATGTCATAATTGCAGATCTCTTGAGAAGTTAAGAAGGCTGCATTTCATGTTATTTAGCCATAATGTATATAACTAATACAACTGGGGTTGTTTTTGGCAAATCTCATTAACCAAAGCGACATTCTTATGCTGCTTTTGACTGTGTTGACTTTCTTGCCTCTTCCCTGAGTTCTGCTTCCTGGTGCATTTCCTTGCAAGACTCTCTCTTTCTGTCCACATCACTTCTGTAGGACGTGCAAAAGGACCTCCTGGACAGGCGCATGGAAAAGATGTTCTTCAGAGGGGCTTCTCTGGCAGCAACTTTTATGCAGAGTGGTACTAGACTATAGCACTGGAAGGAAGGTCTTCTTGTTCTGAGGCTTTTAAATGGGTTTAACTCCTCCCCCCCTTCATTTAATGATGCATTGTGTTTTATTAAGCTTCCCCTGTATTGTTAATGATGTTTAATTTGCCATAAACTGGCCACATAAATCTTGAAAATGAAATCAAAGCTACTTCTGAGGCTCCAAAGTTGGAACCCATTTTTGAGGAACAGATTTTTCCACGGGGATCCTGGCTTCCTCCTGCTCTTGCTGAAGGCTTCCTGGCTGGAACATCAGGCGGAGCCACGGCCTCTCTCTCGGCTCACATCCCTTGGCACTGAAGGGATTCTCAAGATTCCCCTGTCCTTGGGATTTGCTTTATTACCCCTTTATGTCTTTTTGGTGCTTTTTATTATGCATTATCTTTTACAATTGTTGCAGGCTACCTTCTGAGTTTTTATTTGGCTTCCTGAATCAAGGCAATTTAAATCCTTAAGTGAAAAGTTTTTCTGATTTTACCCCATCCAAAGAGAGGGGCATGCCAGTACCTATTGTCCATCAGGTGCTCCTCTATTCTGGGGACAAGGAATGTAGCCACTTGGCCGAAACAAAGACAAGAGGGTAACGGTGAGCCTCTGTTCATTGGGAAGGAGGGCTTGGGGGAAGGATGGCGAGGGGTGGCACTCTAGGACAAAAATGTCTGGAACGCAAAGGCTTTTCACAGACAGCTTGAGCTGAACCTCTCCAGGCCCCTGGGCGTTCTGGAAAGGACCAAAGTAATGCAAGGCTTCCAAAGGCCATTTCCTACCATTAACACAAAGCTCAAGTCAAAATCATTCCACAGGTCTCTCCATCTTCTCCCCATGGATCTCAGACAACCTGCCCTGGCCCTGGAAGGAATCTGGAGCACCTTCACCAACTCACCCTGTCCCACTTTCATGATGATCTTCATGGAGCGTGTTTGGCAGACCCCGCCTTCTCTGTTCTCCAAGCCTTCCAGAGACCCATTGGACGTGGCTACAAGGAGAGAAGAAAAAAGCAACAGGACTGTTGAAAGAGATGGCAACTGCAAAATACTGACTCTCTAACAGCAGCATGCTAGGTGCAAGGGAACAGGTGGACATTACGTGGCTTGCCCAGAGGGTTTTCCCCCTGCCCAGGGCTGCTGCCACTTCATCCAGGAAGGGCTGCCCCAGATTTCTTTTCTCTTGTCCAAAGTGGTTAAACATGGCCTTTCCTTGTTTAAAATTCTGCCCAAAGTGGTCAAAGGGAGGCTCTTTTTTCTATGTGGGGGAAAAAAAAAGAAGAGGGAGAGTTAGCTCTGTCTGTAGTTACCTCCCAGCTCTGCTGGGCTGTCAGTTCTGCAGGGTTCAAGGCAGGCCTATTGGACCAGTTCAGGAAGCCACTGTCCAAACCAGCTGTTAGTGCCCGAAGCCACAACTTCCCTGGAACTCAGATGCCACAGACTGGGAGAAGGGGGAGCTCTCCCATTACGAAGACTCTGCTTGTCCTGCAGTCATTGTGCAGGAAGAAAAGCCACACACTCCTGCCCAATGGGAGCCTTCAGCCCTCCCCACTGCCCCCCAAGGGATGAGGACAGTCCCTGGGAGGGAATGCTGAAAAGAGCATGTCCTTTTGTCTCCCCGGGTTAACAAGCTCTCTGTTAAAGCAGGCCGCAAGGGCTGTGGGGAAAGCTCTCTGCAGCGGCACTGGCTGCCTTCCCGCCCCCTTTCTTCCCATTGTGCAGAGTCTGTGGGGCAGAGAGGCTGGCCTTTGTCAGATGCGGCCTCCTCTGTTCCCCTCAGAACCAACCTAATTAGCAGCGCAGCTCAGGCAGAAGGAGAATGGTCTGAAGGGCTGCAGAGGGAGGCCTTGGGGAAGAAGGGACGGACCCCAGTTCAGCAGCCATGGCTCCGGGGCCCGATGGAGGGGGAGAAACATCTCCCACCCCCACCCCGCACACCAACAAAGCAAAAGAAGCACCACACAACCCTTGAAGGAGATGTTTTGCTCACTCATAATGAGCCTCCCAAAGGCGTGTCTCTGTGTGTGGTTGGATGCCTGGGAGTTGCACTTTTGCTTCAGCTCCCTTAATTTAAAGTCAGACACAACTATTTAAAATAAAAACCTCAGAGGAAGGATGCTGAAATAGATGAAGCCATTTGGATATGAAAAGGAAAGCTCATGCGGGCATGGATGACACATGGGTCGTGGGCAACTCCTCGCCTGCCCCAGAAGAAAATGAATTTGATTTAAGGAGGCACTGCCAGATGCAATGTGGGTGCTTCAGATCACTGTTTCCTCTTTGAATCTGGATCGCCACACAGCCTGTCTTTTACAACATGACACCCATGAGCATTTACATACAGTATCTCTGGATGACATCCACTGAACCCCAAAATTAAACAAAAAACTTTTTAAAAGACAAAATGGCGAACATTGCACAAGATTTTAACATTCTCCCCTGAGAGTTTTGCAGCCTCATCCAAGAACCATGCAATTTTGTAATATCTGGTTTAAAAAAAAAAAAGAATGGCTCTAGCTCATCACAGAAGATCACACCTGGTACATAAAAAATTGCTGACCCTGCCATATGCAGTTTAAGAACCACACCACAGGATGCCTTGCCTTCTGTTTCAGTAACCATGGAGCAAAAATATTTGGCACATAAGGAAAGAATAATGACAGTGCTTTGAAGGCACCAGAAGGGAGATGCAAGGGCTCACTTTTTCCTTGCTCCAGGCTTATTTGAGTACCGATCTTGCATAAGCATCTAATTTTAAGCAGCACAAATCCGTATGTGCTAGACACACAAATGCTGCTTCACACAACTCTTTTTCCCACATCTTTTGGGCTCTTGTTGGACAGAAAGTAGCTGCATAGCAATGAGCACCCAGTGATCCTGTAGAAGCAGAGCCTTGGCAAAGATCTCCTTCTGACTTCAAAGTCAACATATATCTGTGCTTTTGGGTGGAGAAAAAGAACATTAAAAGAGAACAAAGTGGGGAAGATGAAGAGAACAGAATACTTAAGGGGTGCTAGGAGACTCCCTAAAATGATAAATGAAACTGTGCAACACCCCTTCCTCCCCATGGATAGAACTAATAAATTCATATGCGGTCATGGGTGGCTAAAGGCTAATGACACCCCTTACCATCTCACTTTCTCAACTTAGACTTACTTTACTTAGCCCTATCAGTCAGCTGGTCATCTTTCATCTTTCTCTTCCCACCCAATGAAAGCTTGTCCATTTTCAAAGGCTTGCAATTTAACATACTTATCTTCACTAACATGTACACTTCTACAGACATTCCAAAGATACAAGACATACTACCCCATACCACACTAGTTCATACCAACTGATGGAAAAACATCTGCTGGTCACAGTTCTGCTGTCAGTGGTGAATGTTTTTGACAGCTGGCTAGAGTAAGCCTCTCTCAAGCCTCATTCCAGATGTTCCCTGCTCTGCCTCTGAATCCCACTGCAAGCTTGTCCAGGCATAGGGGGAGAGAGCTGTGACAGTGATCAGACTTGCCCAGGCAAAGGGAGTGCTGTCAAAACTCGCTTTGCTCCCCACTGTGCCAGCAGAATCTCACTGTGGCTTAAAAAAAAAAGCCACACCACCTTTTTGCATATGGGAACTTGACACATAGAAATCCATGCAATTTCTGTGATGTCTCTACCCTCTACCACACACATTTCTGAGGAGAAAAAGCTCTAGGAGGCATCTGTGAAGAGTAACTGACCCACAGCTCTCCCCAAAGGCATCAGGAATGGCCTTCCTTTGTGTATTGTAGCATCTAACATGGACTTATTCACAATCACACATTACTTTAAGTCTGCTGATAATATAAACTTACAGTGCCAATGGTTTTCCAAAATGACTGTAATCGCAGAGCAAATACTACACTCTTTTTAACTTTTTAACTCACATGGACACACCAAGACATACCCACCGCTGCCCGCACCACTGCATTCTGGACCAGCTGAAGGTTCCGAGGGGGTTTCAAGGGTAGCTCCATACAGAGCACATTGCAGTAGTCAAGCTGGGAGGTGACCAGGGCATGAGTGACTGTGAAGGGCCTCCTATCTTGGAAAGGGCACAACTGGTACACTAGATGAAGTTGTGCAAAGGCCTTCTTGGCTACAGCTGCTACCTGCTCATTAAGCAGGAGCTGTAAGTCCAAGAAGACCTCCAGATTGTGCACCACCCTTGAATGGGGAAATGCTACCTCATATAAGATTAAAGATGAAATATCCCCAAACCCAGGTGGCCCTAATATCCATAGCCATTTGGTAGGATGGAGCTGAAGATGGTTCTTCCCCATTCAAGCCTTCACAGCCTCCAGGTACTGGGACAGGACTTCAACAGGTTCATTGCAGAGATTAAGGAACATAAACCCACATCAGTGAGTTAATATTTGGAAGCAGCTGAGGCAGATACCTCCCTAATTCACTGAACTATAAGGAGGGACAGGAGGAACAGAACGAGATTCTGTTATTACAGCCTACCAATAGAGCACAGTTCTAGTCAACCTGTGGAACAGAGTTTGGGGTCAGGTCTACCTCGCGGGGCTGGTATCAATCTTGCAAGTCTCATGCTTTCTTTCAAGAGAAACTGAAGGTCTTGCCTTTGTCAGTGGAGATGGCCTCCAATCTTCAGAGCACTCCACTGTCTCCAGAGCAGCTTGCTTCAGCTTTGTTGCAACACTACCAACAGATTTATGAATAACTAACTTGCAAAATGCCATGATGCAATTAATGCAACAGTTGGGACTGAATCTATCTCAACCAGCAGCAGCACAGCAGCCTTCAGCACAGTTGGTATTCCTGCTTTCTCATGGGAGTTTGCCAGAGTAGTTGGGAAGAGGTGAGAAAATTCCTGATTTTCACGACTTAGTGTGAGCTGTTTATGGCAGGTCAATCAGTGGAGTTTCCCACCAATTGCACTAAAGTGACTTTTGTGCTGAGTTTGCTGAAAGAAGGGGAAGCCAAATGAACAATAATTGAGGGCAATGACCCTGTGCTGAGCAATTATCAAAATGTCATGCAAAGATTTAAAGATTCCTTTGATGATCCTATGAGGTGCCTAACTGCTAGTTGTGAAATTTGCAAAGTCAGGCAAAGTCAGCAGAGAGTGTAGGTGTACATATCAACTTTTAAATAATTTGCCAAAGATGTAGGATAGAATCATCTGCCTCTGTTTGACCAAGTTAGAGAGGGACTTGCTGACAGAGATGAACTGGTGAGCAAGGCACCCCAGAAAATTCCAATGTTGTGCAGTAATAGATGGTTGCCCGGAAGAGTTGAGGCAGGGAAGATATGGCAGAGGAAAGAGGTTTTACAGCCTCTCTTCTTCCATAGCTCCCCTCTCGATAGGCTCCTCAGAATCCAGCAGCAGAGAACCCATGCAAACTGGAGCACCCAAGAGATCTCTGTCACCAGGAGAGAAACAGCAAACCTGGGCTTATGCTTTAGTTGCAGAGCTCTCAGACATATAGCCAGATCCTGCACAGCTAAAATTCAAGTCTCTGGCTCAGTGACAAAATGCTGCACCTGTGGATCTACAGGCCATGTAGCAAGCAAGTGCCCAACTGTCTTCAAGGCAGTGGCATTGGGAAACTTCACAGGCTCCTCCCCAAGAGCCCTCAGACAATTAAGGAGAGCTCAGATAGCCAACAGCACGAAGCACACTTCACTGTTCTCATTATTGTTTGTTTAGATTTGTGCTAGAAAGTATGCTTTCTGCTCTTGTAGACTCAGGAGTGACCACTAATTTCATAGATGAGTTCACAGTACTAAAGTTTATCTATCCCGACTCTCAAAAAGCCAGTGAGATGCACTATTCCACTGCAGCTGACAATACAAGGTCACATGGAGCTTTTACCACTCAGTGTGACTCCTTCCTTGTAAGTACCCATTGTCTTGGGAATCGAGTGGCTGCAGTTACATCATCCAGACATGGGCTGGGCACAAGGAACTATTTTGTGCCCATTCCCAAAATGCCAACAGCATC